TCCTTTGCACTTCCTCACACATGACACTCCAACACCTGATCTGGTACCTTTTCACTGATTATCTGAGCCCCCCAATTCCTCTGGTGCCTGGGATGCTCTGCTTCCTCACCACTTTCTTGGCTTCTTTGAAGACTTTGTTCAAATCCCATCTCCTGCAGGAAGCTTTTCCTGGTGCCCCCTCTGCCTCGCACACACACCAAGGGCCTTCCTTCTATTTAAATTATGTGGATCTTGTAAGGTAGGCATGTTACCTGTTGTCTCTGCTACTAAAAGGTGAGCTCCTTGAAGGCAGGAACTACACCTTTGCCTTTCCGTGTAACCCCAGCAATAACAATGGCACAGGGCAGGTAAGTCTTCACACATACTTGTTGACCACATTTTGGGATTTCCTTAAATGTGTACATATTGTTTACTTTCAATAGATCCTAAGATCCTTAAGAATAGGAACTGTTTATTTTGTCTCTTTATCCTTAGGCCTAGCCAAAATGGTCACTTAATAAATACTTCAGGTGATTACAAAAGCAGTACGACTTTGTTAACGAGATGCCTAGACACATGAAACAATCAGAAAACACACAACTAAGTATATTGAATTAAAAGACATAAAATGAGGAGTGCAGGATCACCAGCTGATGATGGAGGCCTCAGACTCAGGAAGTGACTGAGTAGTACCTGAGTAAAATTACCCCAGATGTTGCAACAGGAAAAGACTAAAGGTGAAGGTGGAGGAGAGAGAAAGGGAGAGATACATGACAGCAGTCCAATCCAAAAGATGACCATAGGCAGGACAGGTGTATGACCAACAAAAGAAGCTTAAAATCCCAGAAGATCCTAATACCATTGTTTGCACATATTTACTTAAGCACCTGCTACATGCACTGGACAGTATCTCTGAGGCACATAAGACAGTATACTAACTATGATACAAATTAACATAAATGTAAGAGGACTGATAGCATGGTAGAAGAAGAACTGGATTTACGTCAGGAAAAAAGAAAGAGTCTGAAACCTGGACCTGACATTTATTATATATGTGACTTTGGGTAGTAAGTCACTTAAAAATTTTGAGCTTCAATTTCCACATCTGTAGATTGGAGTGGATGGGGGGGCGGCACCCCCCCACACACACACACATTTAATTCAACAAAGATTTTTAAAGTATCTACTATGTACAAAGTCATATGCATGAAGCAGGTGGTGGTATAGTGAACACAGCTCTGGGCCTAAAGTCAGAAAGGCCCGAGTTCAAATGTGACTTCAGACAATTATGAATTATGTGACCCTAGGCAAATCACTTAACCTCTGTTTGCCTCAGTTTCCTCAACTGTAAAATGGAGATAATAACTGCACCTTCCTTGCAGGGTTGTTTCAAGGATAGCGCTTAACACAATGCCTGGCACATCATAGGAGCTATAAAAATACTTATCCCTTCACAGGAGGGAACAATCCCAAGAGGATGGAAAGACAAAATTTTAAAGGCCTTCTTCACAAGAAGCTCAAATGGGGGAAAGGAGGGAGTAGAGGAGATATAAGTAACTAATTAAAAGCAAAGAGTAATTTGAGAAAGAGTACTAATAACTAGTGGGAAATCAAGGAAGGCTCCCCAGGTGATGTACCTGAGCTGAGCCTAGAAGGAAGATAAGAATTCTGAGGGGTAGAGATGAGCAGGGCATATATTCCAGGCATGAGGACAGCTCATGAAAAGGCAATCAGAAGACGGGCTGCCTTGCAGACCAGTTCAGCTAGAATGTAGAATGTATAAAGCGGAGTAATTATAAGGGAAGGCTAGAAAGGTAGGCTGGAGCCAGCCTGTGGAGGGTCCTAAATGCCAGGTTGAGGTGTTTGCATTTTAGCTGAGTGTCAGTAAGAAACCACTGAAGGCTTTGGGGCAGAAAAATGACACTGTCAGACGTGTGACTTGGGATAATTATTTTGGTAGCCATATGTGAGTGGGCTGGAAATACAAGGACTTTAAACAGGGAGGTCATTTAGAAGACTTTTAAAATAATGTAAGCAAAAGGGGAGGAGGGCGTGGAATAAGATGGTAGCTCTATGTGAGTGGAGAGAAGGGGGCAAATGAAAACATGGTCAGATGCTTTCAAGTGCCTCCCAGTTCTACTAGTCCTGGACATCAGTGAATGGTTACTTTAAAAATCATCCTTGGATAAGAGAGGACTTGTGTTCTGCTTTAATATAAAGAGTTATGAACTCTATCTAAATGAGTCAATTCAACATATATTCAAGTGCCTATGTGCAAGGCACTGGGGCTAGAGAAAAAAGCAACATCACAACTGGGGGGGAGGAAATCAGGAAACAGCTTCATGGGGAGAGAGATGTGTGGCATTACAAACAGGCCTTTAAGGCTAGGTAGGGCTTCATGGATGGGAGAGGGAGGGAGAAGAAAGCAGGTCTTGCTGTACATGCAGAGGGTAGGTAGGTCACAGAGAGTGTGACATGTGCAAGGTAACAGATTATAAAGAGAAGGATGGAAAGATATGTTGCAACCAGACTCAAGAGGTCTTAATACCACAAGGGCTCTGCAACAATGTATAATATTTACCAAAAGTTACACAAATACTAATCATGAGGCATTTAACCAGGCTGGTATGGTTCACTGGTTTCTACTTATTCACCATTAGACCAGATGTGCTTTAAAAAAACCCCACAAAATCATAGGATAAAAGGTTCTGTGTTCTAGTGTTCTGTTATCTTTAAAGGGAAGGGGAACGGGGAATTCTGGCTTGATTTTGAGTTCATGTTACAAATCAACTTGTCCTAAAATCAATAAAACCAGTTAGCCCAGAGAATGATAAGAGCTATACCATTAAGGTATGTGTGTGTGTATATTACACAAATACTAATCATGAGGCATTTAACCAGGCTAGTTTGGTTCACTGGTTTCTACTTATACACCATTAGACTAGATGTGCTTAAAAAAACCCCCACAAAATCATAGGATAAAAGGTTCTGTGTTCTAGTGTTCTGTTATCTTCAAAGGGAAGGGGAACGGGGAATTCTGGCTTGATTTTGAGTTCATGTTACAAATCAACTTGTCCTAAGATCAATAAAACCAGTTAGCCCAGAGAATGATAAGAGCTATACCATTAAGGTATGTGTGTGTGTATATATGTGTATATATACATATACACATATATACACACACACAAGAACACTGTCATTAAAAGCCTGTTTGTTTATGAGGCATTGTTCCCAATTTTACCAATAAAATGTTTCATTAACCTGCAGACCTCTGTTTCCAAAAGCCATCCTAGCAAAAGCTCTTCAATACCGAATCTCATTATTATCTCTCAAAAATCAATAACAATCTGCATCATACTTTTTTGGTAGGAAATAATTTCAGCCTTTGTATAGGGAACTCCTGGGAAAGGAAGCTCTCTCTAGCAAATGCATACTGTTCAGTGACTTATAGAATTTTACAGAGCTTTGGTCACCGATAGGTTCAAATGACTAGATGTCAGGCTGAAAAAGTTACTGTGAAAAACAATGTTAAGTTGATTTCGAAATATTTTCCTCAAAGCTTTGGTCTGTTATGAACCTGAGAGCAATCAATAAGCAGGTAAAGTCGTCCCTGGGTTATCCTCAGCAATCTTGGGGGGGGAGAAAAACTGAAGGCAGTCAGGAATCAAAAATAACTTTTACGTAAACAAGGGCAAAATTGTAGGTCTTAACGCTGGCCAAGAGAGCAGAAGCCACATAATTTAACTGCACTAGGTTGGGAGGAGGAAATTTGGAGGGTTCTATCTCCTCATGCCATTCTCTTCTGCTAGCAAGAAGCCTCTATTTCTGACATGGTCCTCTGAAAGATAACAGATGGGCTGGTTTTCTGTTGTTGTTTTTTCTTTAAGAGGGGAGATGGAGACTGGGGGGTGGGGGTGAAGGGAAGGCCTCGGTACTTCGGTTGCTCTAATTGATGCTTCCCAAGGTGGCTCCAGTCCATGAGATCATCTGGGATGGAAAACGTGATGCTGCTCTGCCCCCAGATGAGTGACATGGGACTCAATGGCCCGAGTCGGGGAAGGACCCGGGGCGGGGGGTGATTTGCTCTCCTCCGCCCCCACCCTCGCTCACTCGGGGAACCCCACGAGCGCCAGGGCCAGCCCAGGCCCGCAGCTGGGTCTGTTACCACAACAAACTGGAGGGAGGCGAGGGCTCGTTGCCAGGCACAGGGGCCTCCCCTCCCCGCCCTCGCCCGGAGCGCGAGCCGGAGCCAGGAGTCGGGGAAGGGGGACCAAGGCGGACCAGGCGGCCCCGAGCGCGCCCCCGCCGCCCGCCAGCCCCCCGGAAGCCCACGGGCAGGGATGCGGCTGGATGGGGGGCCCTGGCGCTCGAGAGAGGGTCAGCACGTCGCCCAGGGTCCCCGGCGCCCCGCACCCCCGCGGGACGAGCGAGTCCCGCCAGCCCCCCGCCCGCACTTACCGCCGGTGGGTCTGGGTCTCAGCCGCGGGCTGGGGCTGCCAGGAGGAGCAGGAGGCGGAGGCGGAGGCCGAGAGATCCGGGATCCCGCCGCCGGGTCATGATCCCCCCCGCCCGAGCTGGCCCGGACCCCGGGCCCCCGCCCCCCGGAGCCGCCCCAGCGCCCGCCCGTCCCGTCCCGTCCCGGGGGGAGGCGGGGAGCCGCCGCCGCCTCAGCCGCCGCTGTCGCTCCCGACCCCGGCCCCGGCTCCGGCCCCGGCTCCGGCTCCGGCCCCGGCCCCGGCCCCGGCCCCGGCTCCGGCTCCGGCTCCGGCTCCGCCTCCGCCTCCTTCCCGCCGCCGCCGCCGCCGCGGCCTCAGCCCCGCGCTCCCGCCTCGACCTCCCGCTCTGCCCGTCCGGGGCCACAGCGGGGCCCCTCGTTCTGCAGGCACCGCCGCCAGGCCCAGCCAGCCGAATGCCGAGCGGCCGCCCCCATTCCGCCAGCCAGCCCAAGCCCAGCCCCGGCCCAGCCCCGCCAGGCCGGAACTACTCGCTGGGAGCCCGCCCCTCGCCGCCATGACACCTACAGAGGCGGAAGTACCCGCCAGCGTCGGCGCCGGCGCCGGCGCCGACGCCGCCATGATGCGGCCGTGTGTGTCTGTGAGCATCCCGCGATGGTGGTCGTGTGGGCCTCCGTGGGGAGCCAACGTGGATCGAGTTAGGTGTCTAGGGCGTGGGGCCGGCCTGCCTGCGCCTTCTCACCGCAGAGCCCGCGGTGGTCACTCTGACGGGACTCGCCTTCTGAAGAGGGGAGGGGGCCGATCGGGAAACTCCCCGCGCTGTGTGACGTCACCGAAGCTCAGTGTGACATCATCGGGCCTGACTGGGCCCACTGCCCCCACGGCACCCGCCACCCGGGAAGCCGGCCAGCTTGGGCTGTTAAGCGCCAGGGTGTGATATCACGTCGGACCGGTGTGACATCACTGACGTCTTAGGTGCCCAGGCGTTACTGAAGGCCACGGACCTCTCTGCGCCTTGTCCACCTTCTTCTCTTCCCGTGTCTTTTGGACGCTAGCTCCTTTCCCACTGTTTCCCAGGTCTCCTGTGTAGGATATCGTCCATGTCCCATCCTCCTGTTTTCGCTAGGGCTCCCGGGGTGTTGGCTGTGGATTCTCCATGTCCGCTGGCATCGCTTGGACCGTGGCCATGGCTTCTGGTTGGTCTCCCAGCCTCGAGGCTCTCCCCAACTCAGCTGCCAAAGTGATCTTTCCAAAGGACAGGTCTGACCCCACACGCCCCATGCTTACTAACAGTGACTCCCCACGATCACATATAAAATGCTGTTTGGCTTTTTAAGCCCTTCAAGAAGAGGGATTCAAGTCAAAAACATTTTAAGAACTAGCTGTGTATTAGGCACAAAGACTAGCAGAAGGACAGCCCCTGCCCTCAAAAACCTTACATTCTAATGGCAGAAGGGAGCCAGGAAGTGGGAGTTGGGGAAAGGAGGGTAGAAACAAAGGCATGAAGAGAATCAAGAGTTTGGGCTGGTAAAATGAAAGCTCTGGGAGAAGCCCCTGGGAATGAGAGTGTTTCCAATGCCAGAAGTAATCCAGGGGTGAAGTAAGCTTTCAGAATGAAGGGCTTCCATAGCATGGTAGACAAAGTCCTTTGGACATGAGTCAAGAGTGCAACCTGGAAAAGTTTTATCACTTTAAGTGTTTATACTCTGCTAGAAGGAAATAACACTTTAAAGTAAGTGCAGCTTGAGGAAAAATTAAGAAAGGAAAGAATATGAACAACTGTAGGAATGCTTCACAGAGGAAGGAGTACTCAAGATGAGATTAGAAAAGAAGGATTCTGAGAGGTAGAAATAAGCAGAGTGCAAACCAGGCATGGGGTATATGGGAGTGCCTTTTTAATACAGGACAGAGATGGAGCAAGGGAGCTCAGGGAATATATAATTTGGCTAGAAGGCAGCATCCACAAAGGAATAGCACAAAATCAGTCGAGTGTAGGGATGAGAGAGACTGTGGAAGGCCTTGAATGCCAGGCAAAGGAATTTGTATTTTATCCCATAGGCAACAGGGAGCCACCGGATTTTAAAAAGGTTATCTTAGCAATTAGGTAGAGGATCAGTTGGGAGATGGGAGAACCTGGGAACACAGACATAAATTAGAAGGCTGTAATTGTAGTCCAGGCTAGAGGTGATGAACATTTGTGCTAAGATAGTGACTGTTAAAAATATTACTAGACGGTTTTTGACTTGAGGAAAAACATTTGGGAGAAGCAGTCAGGGAGCAGCAGCAGAGATGACATTTGAGGGTGAGGAGTGGCAAAGACGTACAGAAGACAGTCAAACTAGAAGAGAATGTCCAGCCTTCTTGTGGTCTCAGCTGGCCCTAAACCCCACTCTACTCCTTCACCCTCCCTTTGGGGCCCACCTTCTCCAGTCTTCCTTTAGGTGCCTGCTGGGAAGATGATGTTGTGGTAGCTGCATATTGACTTAGAAAGCCACATGTTAACATTATTTCTGTTTTACTATATTTTTATTTTGTTAAATTACATTTTAATCTGTTTAATCTGTTGGCATGTGCCCAAGGGCCGTGTGTTGGATACCTCTACTCTAAACCACCAGAGGAAAATGTATGCCCCTCCTGGATGTCAGTTCCTACGGCCAAAATCCCAGCTGTCCCATCCTAGTTATAACTCATTGCTAAGTAAGTGGAGAGAAGGGTATTTATGTGAGAGACATAAAGACAGAATCAGCAAATCAGTGCAACTAAATGAATGAGGAATGAGGGAGAGGGAAGAGTCAAGGATGACTTTATGCTTCCATAGTTTCTGTGGTAGAATAAAGAAAAGCATTTGACAGTAACAACCACATTGTGATATGCCTAGCTGTGATTGACTTTGCCCTTCGCAGCAATGCAAGGATCTAAGACATCTGCAAAAGTCTCAGAAAATGCTCTCCACATCCAAAGAAAGAACTGTGGAATTTGAATGCAGATCGAGGCATACTATTTGCTCTTTTTTTCTTCTATTTTGTTTTGTTTCCTCTTTCTTGTGGTTCCTTCTATTGGTTCTAATTCTTCCTTACAACATGACTAATGTAAAAATATGTTTAACAGGAATGTATATGTATAACCTATATCAGATTGCATGCTGTCTTAGGGAGGAAGGGGGAGAGGGAAGGGGAGAAAAATTTAAAACTCAAAAGCTTATGGAAGTGATTGTTGATGAATAAAAATAAGTTAATTTTAAAAATGTAAAAAAAATGCATTTGAGGTGATTCAGAAGAAGGAAATTGAAAAAAACGATTCAGAGGACTTTGGACTTGCCAAAAAGGCTAGAGATTGAATTTAGGAGGGAGAAATTTGGAGGAACTTGAAAAAAAGTTGAAGGAGAATGACTCAAGCTAAAACAGACAAAGAGTCAAAGATTTAGAATTAGAAGGGACCTCAAAGGAAATCCAATCCAATAGCCTCATTTTATAGATGAGGAACTGAGGACCAGAGAAGCTGTGTGACTTGTCTGCCATCAGACTGGACCCCAGATAACCTGACTCTGATGCTAGTATTCTTTCTAGTCTACTATAACTTGCTTTTTATTTTTTATTTATTTTTTTTTTTTGCTATTAAAAACTCTCCAAAAAGCAACCTCGTCTAAAGGAAAGAGCATTGACCTGGAATAAGGAGGAACTGGAAGTTGAGCTCTGGCTCTGATCCTCAGAACCAAGGTGTGAAACTAACAGTTCATACCACAGAGAAACGTGCTTGAGGTGAAGATAAATTCTTCTTGGGGAGCAACACAATGGGGAGAAACCTTGGACCTTGGAACAAAAGACCCCATAGGAGGAGAGACCCTGAACATTGCCTCGTGGGAGGAAAAAAGAGATAACAGAAACACAAAGAAGCTGCTTCTAGGGAAGCCTTGGCTAAGGGGAGCAGGGCAGGGAGGAGCTCATCTGGGTTGTGGCCATTTAATTTTTTTGGACTGGCCCCACAATTTCAGCAGTCTAGGAACTTTCAGTGAGGAGACTTCTCTGGCAATGCAAATCAGCACCTGCACTAGGAATTATAGCTTGGGGGGGGGCACTCAAGGGTGGCACGAGAGCAGGGAGACCTTGAGGTAAGTGACCTGCCCAAGGTTACACACAGCCAACACGTCTCACAGGTCACACTATTCTGCAGCTATTTCTCTTGCTGAACAGATACTGAACTTTGTTTCTACCAGATGAAGAGTATGAGTGCTGTCACCGTCTCTACATTTTAACACCTTGAGGTGAAGTCCCTGTTAGCCCAGCCTAGTCACAGCACTGTTGACACTCATTGTATGACCCTAAGAAGTTACTTGGTCCCCCTCAGCCTCACTTTCCTCAACTGTAAAATAGGTATTCACATATATATTACCTACTCCACAAAATTATTGAGTCAAATGCTTTATAAATTGTAAAGCACCATGAGTTATTATTACCTCCTTTTATATTTTTATCCCCTTAGAAAGCAGACAAGCTATCTGTGAAGATACATGAAACGGTTACATTGCCTTTTGCAAGGAAAAAATCCTTTGCCTTGCACTGTACAGGGAACAGGGAAGTGCATTCCCCTAGAGGACCAGGATTAGCCAGGATACCCAATCCCATGAGGCATTTGTGTTTATTGATTTTTGCAAGAACTTCCTCCTTTCTGTTTGAGAAACAACACAGGAAAGAACACAGTGCACCAGCCTTGATCACTGAGGTGACAGGCCAGGGGAAGTGGGGGAAGGAGAGAGGAAGTGAGAAATCGGAGATGTCTCCATATTTCCCCATGTTCCGCTGTCCTGAGAAATTACAAGACATCTGAGAATAAGTCTGAGTATTACAGCTTGGTAACCCAGAGGAAAAGGGCAGAAAAGCTAGTCCTGGCCTTTAGCAGTTGAAATATACTCCAGAAGATGTTCTCTGCCGTAATTATGGGGACCATATTTTCTGAGCACCAGACTGGCAGACGTGGTCTAAGCAAAGGATATTCCTTTTACAAAACCTTCTCTTCTTGTTATCAGGATCATTCTGAAAAATCCAAGGCACCTTTGCCACATCCCTCCCAGCTAATGTCATGTTTTTGTGTGCTTTTGACCTTCCCCCATCTCCCCTTCCATAGCAATTTATGTCCCTTCCTTCCTCTCTAAACTTACTTCCAAGAAGTCTTTTCTAACCACCCTATTCAAGCCTTTCAATTATCACTCTCTCCCACTCTTTCAGAATATACCATACCCCTCTGCACCACATTTACATGTGTCCATGGATTGTTTTATAAATGAACTTAAATTCTTTTGTAAACCTTCTTCATTAAACTGGTTGCTTCTGAAGTACAAGAGCAACATCCCTCCTCCTCTCCATCCCCAGACAGCCTGTCCAAGACTACGCGCACAAGGTAATCAATACTGTACATGGGTGGGATTCATGCATCAAGGGAACTGGGGGACATTGTGTGGTCTGACAAAACCAAACCAGATGAGTGCTCTCAGGCTGGCCAAGCACTTCATTTACATTATTCCATCTGATCCCCAGGTAGGTCCAACAAATAAGATAATTGTAAAGCACCTAGCACAGGTCCTGGCACATAATAATAGCTAGTATTATGATTATTATCTTTATGCTTCAGTGTCTAGTACTTTACTACATCACGCTGCCTCTCAAGAGATTCGTGGAATCACAGACGTGGAGCTAGAAGGTAGTTAAGTTCAAAGGTCATCTAGACTACCCTCCCTTTTGCAGGTTAAGGAAATAGGCCTATGGAGGTTGAATGACTTTTTCAAAGTCACACAAGCTAATAAGATGCAGAGCCAGGATTTGAACCAAGGTCATCAGACTACAGTGATCTTTCCACTGCCACCACCACATTACACCCACTGCACTAAGGAATTATTGTGGGCCTTATTAAATCAATTGGAAATATGACAAGTATGGAGAGGAAAAGAAAACTTCTGAACTGTCTGCCATATGGATTTTTCCCAGGTTCTTACATGGGAGATCCAGACAAGTAAGCAGGAAAAAAAAATTACAAGGGACAATTCACCACAGTGGTTTTTCCAAATCTTTTCATCCCTTTTCAAACCTCCTATGGCACCCCCACCCCTCAGCCTCTTAGCTGAGAACCTTGCCTCACTCATTTCATTGAAAAAAATAAAGGCTGTTTGCCTATGGCTTCCTCTTTTCAACCTCCTCCTCAACTAAAATCTCCCTGATCCCCTCTTCTACTATCTCCATCTTCATCCCTACCTCATATAATGAGGTGCCTTACCAAAGCAAAGGTTCCCTATCATCGTTGAGAATATCACCATCCTCCCCATTACTCAAGCTCCAAACCAAGACGTTATCCCTCCTCATTCTCACCCCCATTTTTAATCTGTTGCCAAAGCCTATTAGCTTTACCTTCCTAATCTCTCTCTCAAGTCCCTCCTCCATCCTTGTTGCTACCATCCTGGTGCAAGCTTTCATCACCTTATCCTTGAATTATTGAGTAGTCTGCTGGTCAATTTGTTTATCACGTCTCTCTCCTCCTTCCTAAAGGATAGTTCTGACCATGTTACTCTTCTCCCTACCTCTCTCCCATCCCCTTCCCCAATAAACTCCTATGGCTCTCTATCCCTTTCAGGTTCAAATGCTAATAGCCTCTGGCAATTCAAAGCCCTTTATAACCTGCCTTCTTCCACCTCACCTTTCTCTCCACCTACTCTAAGATCCAGTGACACTGGCCCCCTTGCTGTTCCAAAAACAAAATACTCTGGCCATTTTCGCTGGCCGTCCCCTATGTCTGGAATTCTCCTCCTCATCTCTGCCTCTTGAGTTCCCTGGATTTCTTTAAATCCCAGCTAAAATTCTATCTTCTCCAGGAAAACTTTCCTGATACTGCTTAAATGTCGTGCCCTCTGTTGATTATTTCCAATTAATCCTATACATGGCTCGTTTGTACATAGTTTGCATACTGTCTCTACCTTTAAACCATGAGGTCTTTGAAAACAGGTATAGTCTTTTACCTTTCACATCCTCAATGTTTAGTATAGTTCCTGGAACATAGCAGGGCTTGATAAATGTTTACTGACTACCCTGGCCCTTCATGCTGCTAGAAATCTAGCACAAGAGTGCCATAGGTTTTAGGCAATAAGGGATTGGCATAGGATGGTGGCTGTGAAATTGGAAACAATGAGTCAGTCCAAGTTAAGTGCTATAGAAGCACAGAATAGTGGAGCTAGAAGGGAGTTTAGCATCCCATCCAATCCCGTGTTTGTTGGATTGAAGCCCATTCTTTGACAGATGAGGACAGCAGTGCCCAGGGAGGTCAAACAATTTTCCCTGAGTCATGAAGCAAATCAGTGGTAGGGCCAAAACTAGAACCCACATCTCTAGTCCCAGACCAATGTTCTTTCCACCATACTACATGATCTTCAGCTAAGATGGGGCACCCAAGAGTTGATGGACTAGAATCCATGTGGTGTGGTGGATAAGGTATTGGACTTGTCATCAAGAGGACATGGAAACAAATCACATCTCAGATACTTCTCAGTTCTGTGATTTGTCACTTAATCCATCTAGGCCCCAGTTTCCTTATCTGGACAATGAGAGACTTGGATTTTGTGATCTCGAAATCTATGATCCTGTGATAACAGATTGGATACAGGAGGAAGGGATTTTAAAGAGGTAGGAAATGTTGCCCTTCTCTAAGGTTAACATGTCTATTCTGCTTGCTGGTAGTTGTTTAACAATGGACTGAGGGGAGGAGATAGGTCCTCACCATATACTTTTACATTTAATCTGTATTATTACCATTTCCTCCATCACTTAAGTCTAGAAAATCAACAACACATCAAGCCCCGATTTGTTGCCAGTGGTTGGCCCGTTTCCAAGGTATCAGTGCTCACGTTGAAAATTTAACAATGGCCAAGCCAATTCAACAGGGCAGCTAGGTGGTACTGGGACTGGGTTTGGAATCAGGAAGAGTCGTCTTCATAGTTAAAATCCAGCCTCAGACACTAGCTGTGTGACCCTGAGCAAAATCACTTAACTCTGCTTGCCATTTCTTTCTCCAGCTCATTTTACAGATGAAGAAACGGAGGCAAACAGTCACTCCAGTATCTTTGCCAAGAAAACCCCAAATGGGGTCATGAAGAGTTGGACACAACTGCAAACCAACTGAACTGGAACTGAAGACAATTCAAGCTGAATCCACGATACCCCTGTCTGTATGTATTCTGTATATACCTATTTTGGTATTTAGTATCTCCTCTATTAGAACGTAAGCTTCTTCAGGCAGGAACTATTTTTACTTTTTTCCCCAGGGCCTAGCATATCGCTTGACACATGGTAACCACTTAATAAATGTGCGCTGAAATTGTTAGTCATGTGACCCAGTGCCTGAACAATAATGGTTCTCTCTTATTCCCTTTTAATACTATCAGGACCAGAGAGGGAAGTTTCTCTGGATGAACCAGACCAAGAGAGATCACCAAACTTCTGATCCTTTGAGATGTGGGGAGAAGTCTTTGACTGTGACTCAGTTCTTTACTCTCCTTTGGACTCCTGTTTGAAAAGTTTATCTGGGACCAGAAAGGAGGAAGGGAAGGTATATGAGGGAAAGGAGTAGCCCAGGGGTGGGGAACCTGCGGCCTCAAAGCCACACGTGGCCCTCTAGGCCCTCAAATTCGGCCCTTTGACTGACAAAAGGGCCATATGTGGCCTTGAGGCCACAGTTCCCCACCCCTGGAATAGCCACTTTCCTTTTCTACTGCATTGGACACTACTGATCACCCCCCATCATTGTGAAAACTCTTTCTTCCCTGGGTTTTCCTGACACTGTACTGTCATTCTCTCCTCCTACAGTGCAGGTCTTTTCAATTTCTTTAACATGATCATCCTGTCCCCTCTGGGTAAGTGTTCTCCTGGTTTGTGTCCTGCACCCTCTTCTCTTGGTGTGTGCATCAATTCCCAAGATTTTAACATAGATTAACAGATAACTCCCCAAATCTATATATTCAGCTCTCCTCTCTCTTCCTTTATCACCAGCTGCCAATGGATATCTCCACCCAGATGTCTTCTAGACATCTCAAATTCAACATATCCAAAATAAATATTTTTATATTTCCCCCCTAAACATACCATCTTAACTTCCCTATGTCTGTTTGGTTTAACAGTATCCTTCCAGTTACCAAGTCTCACAACCTTATAGTCATCCTCAACTCTTCTTTCTCCCTCAACCCACATATCCAAACAGTTGCAAAGTCTTGTTAATTCTATTAGAATATTATTAGAATAATTATATTTAGAATACTGACTACTAAATGCAAGTTAGAAGGCCTCTTCCACTAAACATTTGTACATGCGTCCCCCATCCACTGTTGAAATTAATGAATGAAGCATCTATTAAGCACTTATTCCATGCAAAGCACTGTACTAAGGGTTGGAGATATAAGTATAAAAATAGCCAGTCTCTGCCCTCAAGGAGCTCCAATTATAATGGAGGAGGTAACATATAAGGAAGATTTGAGCTGCAAGTCAAATGAACTTTCTCTCCTTCCAAACTCACTTCTGCTAGGGATCCTTCCTATTTTAAATCCATCCAATCATGATCAACATTCAGGTACTCTGTATGAAAGATATAAAATTGTTCTTGGATATTATGTTTTTATTACTAGTAGGGAGAGAGATGCAGGAATTTGCCTCAAGTCAGACAAAATTTAGAGAGAACTGACGATATTTACATTGATCTCAATGATCGGCAGAAAGGCTAGCCAGCTGGTAACCAACTCTCCTGAGTACCTTCTAGCATACCATCATACACATTAGCACAGTGCTTGGTACCAAGTAAGTAAATCACTTCATAAATGCTTTTTCATTCAGTCAGTCAACAAAGTTTATTGCGTGCTTACTAGGTGCCAAGCACCAGGAAATCAGAAGAAGGCAAAAACAAATCCCTGCCTTCCAGGAGCTCACATTCTGATGGGAGAAGAGGACATGCAAATAACCATGTATACATACAAGATACATATAGTCTAAAGTCCTTGTGCTACATAGAAACAACTGAGTTTAGCAATAAATAGTGAAAATGGAAGGCTACAAAATGACCATATTTCTTCTCCACCCTTCCTCACTCCACACCTGAATTGAGGATTTTTCCTTGTTCTCAAGGATGTAAGGACATTAATTGGGTTATTCCAAACAAAATGCAGACCCCAATCCACTCACTCCTCATTCTCCTGTGGCCATGTCCTCCCATAAATCCCTCCCCCCAGGGGATCCAATCAACATGCTGAGGGGTGGGTGGGCTAGTGCTTTTAATGTCGTGAGGGCACCAATACAGCCCTCAATTAGTCCATCTGTTATCCTTTGCTCTTGTCATGATAGATAATCCAACTCTTTTTCTTGTCATACATCAAGGAATTCATGGAATTTGTGTGTTACTTTGTCTTGTATTTGTTTTTCAGTGTGTGATAGTTTATTTTTTCCATTAGATTGTAAGCTCTCTGAATGTAGGGACCATACTTCCTATCTACTCCTCAACCCCGAAGACCTAATGCAGGAGATTAAACAGGAGTTGTGTGCAATAAGTGGTGCTGATTAACTGTCTATTTGTCCTGAATAATAATGATAATAATTACTATTATAGCTAGCATTTACATAATACTTTAAGGTTTGCAAAGCACTTTACAAGTATTATCTCATTTGATCCTCATAAATGAGACAATATTTGTAAAGCATATAGCACTGTGCCTGACACACAGTAGGTGCTTAGTAAATACTTGTTTCCCCCCCCCCTTCTTCCATTTACAACAACCCTGGGAAATACATACAGTTACTATTCCTGTTTTACAGATGAGGAAACTGAGGCAAATAGGGGTTAAGTGACTTGCCCAGAGTCACACAGTAAGTATCTAAGGCTGGATTTGAATTCAGGTCTTTCTGACTCCAGGTCCAGTGTTCCATACACTGAACCAACTAGCATTCTGGAAGTCTAGGAATAGTCAGAGCTCATTTCACCTAATTCCAAGCACTTCCCCTTACATTGCCCATCCCACAGTCCCCCCCAAAAAATTTACACTCATCTTAGGACTCTAACTTGGGGGGAGGGGAGAAGAGTGGCTGCATCCAATAAGGGAAGTATCTTCCTTAATAAAGGAAAGGGGAAAGATTTTTCATTAGACCAGCATTTTCCAAATTGATTTAGCCATGGGATGCCTTAGGCCTTATAACATACTCACAGCCTCCATAAATTCTAGTCCCAGTGTATGGCGTATGGAATAAAGTGGAGCTGGAAAATTTGGAAGAAATTATGGTATATGAATGTTACTATCAATCAATTAACATTTATTAAGTGCCTACTATGTGGCAGGCACTGTGCTAAGCACTAGGGAAACAAAAAAGAAGCAAAAGGCAATCCTAGCCCTCAAACAGTTAAATCTAACAATATTATTGTATAGAAAGAAACAGAGACTGAGAATTTTCAGAGAAACTTGGTAAGACTTATGCAAACTCACGTAGAGTGAAGAAAGCAAGAGTGAGAACAATTTCTACAATGACAACTATAACATAAAGGAAAATCCTAAAAGTCATCAGAATTCATATTTCTATAATAACTGCTCTTGCATTCCAAAGGATTGACCCTCCTCTCAGTAGGGAAGGTAGGCTATCGGTGTGGAATACTGCCACACATGATAATGTGTCAGTTTGGTTTTTACAGCTGTTTTTCTTTGTCACAAGAGATGGTTCTATGAAGTGCTTATTGGGGAAAGACAATGTAAAAAGACAAAAAGCTTTTTAAAGTTTAGAGCATAATCGAGGGAAGTGAATCTACATTATCTTGAAATATTGCCACATGACATATTTCAGAAAAAGAACTTAACACTGTAGAAGGGAAATATTGCCAGCGTTTACATTTTCTCATTTAACCCCTATTCATATTGCATGGACCATCAGAGGTCTAATGTACATAGTTGGGAAATTGCTGCCTTAGACCCCTTAGTGGAAAGCAGATGGAAAGCAGATGACAACAACCTAGGAGCAGAGATTGGATAAGATCCTTTCTAGTTCTCAAATTCTGATTCTATGAGTTGGATGTGAATGTGTTAGTACTGACTGATTCAAAGACTCCCTCCTGTCCCTACAGAAGGTCTAACCCAAACCTGCCATCTCTGTGATTCACTTAGCAGTGGGAGTCTGGCTTCACCTTCACACGCTGTTGTCCCTACAAAGCCTGAAGTTCCATCCCAAGCAATTTGGAAAAGAGATCTTTCACTGCCCACCCAAATTTTTATAATTATCCTAATGACCTCATTGATTGGCAGAAATACTAGACAGCTGGTAACAGTCTCCTGTGTGCCTAATAGCATACCATCCTACAAATATTAGCATGTATTTGGTACATAGCACCACATAAATGCTTTTTCATTCATTCATTTATTCGTTCAGTCAGTAAGCTTCTATGAAATCTTCCAGATTATACGGCAAGTGGACGTCATCTTCTAGGAGTTTAAAGATGCCTCCATTACCCATCTCTGTAAAGGAAACAGGCTATCCTGTGAGAATCACAGGGTGATCTCTCTCCTAGTCATTGCTGGCAAGATCCTTGCCAGAGTTCTCCTTAATTGGCTGATCCTTCATCTGGAAGGTCAGTATTCAGAAAGGGCTTCAGAAAGGGCTCAAGAACAGTTAACACAAAATGTTTGCTGCCCAACAACTCCAGGAGAAATGTCAGAGGTCTATATATCACATTCATCTACCTGACCAAGGCCTTTGATATTGTTAGTTACAAGGGCCTGCAGAAGATTATGTTGAAATTTGGTTGCCCAGAGAAATTCATCAGCATGGTATACCAGTTTTATGATGACATGCTCATATGGGTTCTGGATGAAGGACCATGCTGTCATGCTTTACCAGTCACCAACAGAGTGAATGAGGGTTGGGTACTTGTTCTCATGCTTTTCAGCATGATGTTTTCTGAGATGTTGTCAGATGCCTTCAATGAGGAAGAAAATGGAATCAAGATCAGCTTCCACAAAGATGGTAAACTATTTAACTTGAAGAGGCTACAAGCCAAGACTAAAGTGGAGGGAGAGTTGGTACACAACATTTTGTTCACAGATGATTGTGCCCTCAATCCAGCTTCTGAGGCCATGATGTAACAGAGTAAGGATCAATCCTCTGCTGCCTATGCTGATTTTGGCTTGACAATCAACATGAATAGAAAAAG